TCTGCTGTGTTTCCTTTTGCGATATAAACGAAGTTTAGCAAATAAATAAAACCGTGGCGTCCCCCTCTTATACTTACCCCCTTGCACCCCTCGATTGTATTGCAATATATATCGCGTACGTGCTGGCATGCCATAAATATGTGTGCCTCTGCATGAGAGCCGAACAAAAATTATATTTCTGCTTGTATTTGCAACAATTTATTTTGACTGCGTAAACGCCCACAGGCGAGGCTCCACAGAAAGTGGACCTCGTTTCAAGACTGCAAATGCCCCTATTTCCATAATGGCTTATGGCAGCATTTCACTTATAGTTCAGCCTAATGGAAAGCCTAGTTAGCATGTGGCATGTGGCATGTGGCAGGCACCTGTCGCCTTGTCAAATGCAAATTTCTGGCAAACTAGAAGCAAAGCCACGAACTAACCACAGACAGCTGTCCCGCAGCAACTGCAAGTGCAAAGGAGATGGCTAAACTACAAAAAGATGCCCATATTTGAGGACTCTTCGTTGAAAAATAAAAAGAAAACTCTATAAATATTTACAGCCATCTCTGAAGTGGCTGCGATCCAAGCAATAGCCAAAGCAAACACCTTCAATAACTCAACGCAAGCAGAAATCTGGCATGCTCCACACCCTGGAACATTCATTTCAATTATTTAAAAAACAAATTAAGTCTGTATATTTTGATTGAAGCCAGCAGATGCATTGTTAGGATGAGACGAGTATCTAGTTATATTTAGTATAGGAAATTGGCAAATTCAACGCCTTAGCAAACAGCAGAGAAAGGTGGAGTATCGGAGTTAAAACTTGTAAAACATTACAATTGGGTGCCATCGACTGCATAATACTCGCTCGCCGTTTAAAAGCAATTTTAAAGCAATATACTCCATTTGCTTTTAGAAACAGAGTATTAAAATTCGTAAAGAAGGTCAAAGCTTGAGGAGAATAACTCAACAGATCGCAATGATATGGGCGAGAATATAATAATTTTGGAGTGTCAGTTGGAAATTGTCAACAAAAAATTGTAGAGCATATATATATATATATAGATAATATATATACGAGTAGATATTAAAAGTGTCAAATAACCAATACACCCGTCTATATATCCTGAGCGTGTATATAGAAAACATGAGAACCCCTAAGCAGAAGGAAAAGAAAAAGAAAAAGATAAAGAAAAATAAATGAAGACTGGCCAACTAAAAATTAAAATGTGCAAAACTTTGCACAGCAGTTGTTGAAATTGGAAAATGGGAAACGGAAAAATAAGGGGAAAGCAGCGAGCGAACCGCAGCTAGCTGAGCCAAAGCTGAGCTAAAGAGGATAGAACAAAGTCGTCTGCGGCATTCAACGTAGCCCGTGTGTCTTTGTCTACACAGAGCAAGAAGGGGGCGCAAAAAGGTGCAAACACGAAGCAGGTACGAGATACGGGCAACCGAAAGACTTGATGATGATGATGATTTGATATATATGTATCTAGCTATATCTATCTCTTCCTACATGTCTATATGTGTATGTATAGCTGCATAGCTGCTGCTGAGATTTCTTTGTGGTTTTCCACTTCTTTTGACAAACCATTTTCATTTTTCACAAAGTGCGCTGCAAGTGAAGGCAACCAGAGAAAACTTCAAAGGGCGCCCAGCCAGGACTCCCCTCAAGGACTTGAGCTTGGTCGCCATTTTAGAAGTGCGGCAGCATTGGTTAACGCCCACACACTGTTGTACCAAGCACTATTATGAAATATGATGAAATATGAAATGATATTCCACCCCAAAGGCTGCTTGTGCGCAATCGCATAGTGAGTTAACCCTAGGGGGCCATACTGCAACACTGTTACGTTATATCAGATGGAGAACTCATTTCGACATGCCAATGAAATTGCGGCATAACAAATATTATCACAGCTAGGCCACAAAATTGATGTTCGCTTAGCAATTCTTTGGCTCTTGGCCAACGGACTCATCAATCAAACGCACTCAGAAGCTCAACCAATCAAACAATCGCTCAGCCGTAATGCTCACTACGCAGCCACAGACACAGACACACAACAATTTTCCAATTAAGCGACCAAAAATTTGAGCATATGATGATTATTGACGATAAGAGCTCGTAAGGAGCTCCAATAGACTCGTAAAATGTGCAAATAAATCGCACAATTGTTGTTCGTTGGTGGCTCGTCTCCGACCCTCTCGACTATCTACGAGCATCGAAACTAAAAGTTATCTGCGGCCAAGCCAAAACAAAGAAACTTTCATTTCCAATTTTCTTGATGTATTAAATTATTTACGCCCTCTTGAGCACAGGATTTTTCGTGTGCGTTTGCGTTGCCAGCCAGACATGAGATGATATGTGTGTACACACATGTACGTACATATATCTACTACAGAAATAAATATGTATTTATCTTGTTTTAATGCTGTTTCGCCATATATTTTGGGTTTTTGCTGCCAATGCTAGAGATTTGTTGTAAAAGTAATGAAAATACTTTAATTTTACAATATATATACCCTCTAAAGCAACTCTAGCCCAATAACACTTAAATGAGTATAATAATTTGGACACACTTTCACAAGACGCAACTAACTTGGTGGAAAGTGTCGAAAGTGTCTCCAACACTTTTCACCAAGTTAATTGTAACAGGTAAGAACGTTGCAATCGGTTACGACTGACTGCCCGATACACGTTCAACTTTTTTTCTTTTTCCCTTAAGGTATACAAATCCATGTTATTTATCTGTCTAGCTGTGGAGTAGATTGTGCTTATAGTTCTATTGCTGAGGTTATAGTTATATCTCTATGCCACGCCTCCTTACGGTGCTAATGCATAGTTTTTAGAGAAAGTAAATTATTATATTTTTGCTGTATAACTAGATTTTTAAATATTTTCCAGCTATGCTATGCCTCCCATTAGAAGTTGATTTGATTTCAGATTATTTGGCGCAGTTCTACTCGAATTTCGAATGCCCTAAAATTACTTTTATAATATATGCACGTATAAGTTAGTATTTTAGAGTGCAGAATTCAAACTTTTTTAATAAATGTCATATAATGCTTAATTGTTAGAGCTTGTGTTGAGTCAGACAAATACTTGTTCAATATGTGAATCTCGAAGAAGATTTTGTATCATCTTTAGTAATTGGGTTTGTCGTGTTAAAAGTTTATTTAATTAGGAAATCAAAAGCTTTTTTTACAATTTTTAAATACTATATAGTAATACAATATACTATATATAGATAAAAAATGTTAGCACTTACAGCGAGGATACGTTGCCACGCCTTCAAGTGTTTTGCTTTAGTGCAGCCAGGCGGACCTTACACAAACCCAATATACTCTTGCAATGTGTGAGCGTGCATTAAAAACTGTCCCTAGTTAGCAGAAAATACTTGAGTCTTCACCTTGGGGCCCGCTTTGTTGTTCATTGCTGCTTGGCAGGAGGGGCTCACGAGATATATTTCGTGCATGATTTTTACAGTCGCTGAGCAAGTTGGCGGCGAAGAAAAGAAAATTTCTTAACTGTACTCAACTCAATTTCACCCACTGGGGCCCACTGGGGCCCACTGGGGCCCACTGCACCAAATGTGCAGCCTAGCTCACAGCATCGTCGTCTTGGAGTGCGGGGCGGCGGCTGATGAGGCCAGCAACCCAAACAATGTGCAGTTGGCTCCGCTACGAGGGACCCTGGCCAGCTCTCTGGCAGCTTAATTACATTATAACACGCATCATAAAAGTGCATTAGTTTTTCCAAAACTGAGCTCTCCCTGCCGCTGCTAAAAATGATTACCGTTTTGATTTGCAGCTTTTAAAGTGGGCTTTGGCTATTTGTTTTGGTTGAAATCAGCTCTACTAAACTAATTTCGGGCCTGTAATACTTTAACTTGAATAATTCTTTAATAAAAGCATTTTACAAATCAGTTTTCTATATATATATTTTGTATTTGTGAAACTACATAAAACACGCTGTGAAGGCGTGGTCCAACCCATATATTATATATATATATTCTTAATAAGGATCCCCAGCAGAGTGGACTTATCACTTTCTTGTTGTTCTCGGCTGTCCTATAAGTCTAAAGTTATGCACTTAAAATGTTTAAACATAATATGAAATTTATAATAAAAAACTAAATCAAACTTTAAAGCTTTTAATTATATCAGATCCTAAAGTATTCCAAGACGTTCATCAAGTTATATTTGAAATAAATAGACAATATGAGTCGAAGAGTTTATGAAGAAGAATTTCTATGTAATCCAAGCTGCAAGCGTGTATAAATAGATATCTCCTAGAGTATTTGCAACAATTGCTTATTACGTTGTTAAGGGTAGTATTTAGTCGAACAGTCCCGAGCGAAGCTCTGCTGTCAATTTCCTGGAGTAATTTTATCTCTTCTTCCAGTTAAGCACTCCCAACAAGAACACTCTTACTTGTTTCTTTACAACTTACCATTTTATGTTTTTTTCCGGTGATTATTAATTTTTTTAATAGTTTTATATTCTTTGTGGACTTACCAAGTTAGGCTTGAAACCCTTCAACCTTATTATTGTGCTTTGTATTTTCAATTTTCCAGCGAGGGGACGACTAAGAGCTGGTAAATAAAAGCAAGAGCAAAAGCAGAATCTGAAGCATTTGGGCAGCTGAGTCAGTGCAGCAGCACGAATGCGATCTGTGCATGAATGAGCAAAAGCATCCAATCCATGGGTGAGCAAATAACGAATACATGTCAGACCCATAACGCCAAATGCCGATTGTACGATCAAAGAAAGGCAAATTTTGTAGAAGAAGAAAACAAAAATATGGATAATTTTAATTGGCCAACACCAGTGGCAGCCAGATCTCTCGCCTCGTCTTTCCATTTGAGTGAACAGCCTTGGCCATGGATCACAATTTATAAAAGCAACGAGCCGACAGCGTTTTCGCTGGAGTATCATTCGAAGCTCGTTGGCGTTTGGTAGCAAGTGGAAGTCGAGTTAAGCCGGAATATTAATACGATACATCAGTAGACAAAACAATGACGCGTCTCGAGTGGTTGCTGCTCCTGGCGTGTGCCGTCAGCATTGGAGCTGGTGTGGAGGCTGCTGCAACCCAAATCCAGAGACGACGCCGTCATAGCATAGTTGAGACTATACCAGCTGCAGCTGCAGCTACATCTGGAAGCAGTGATTGGGGATTGGGGCCAGAGTTGACATTGGCTCGGCGTGTTTACGACGAATGCCAGGAGAAGAACGATTTTGTTGGCTGCCTTAAGCAAAAGGCGTTGCACGCCTTGTCGCGCGCCCTGGAGCAAGATTCCATTAAAATCGTCGACGGCCTGGTTCTGGAGAAACAGAATCAAAGCGACACAGAAAGCATCATCGGATCGCTGACTGATGCCAGGCAATTCGGCAGTCTAGCGCCAATCGATCGTGCTCTTCTCTCTAAGGCCGACAAACTCATGCGCACCCATGCACTCAAAGTAGACATGGACTTAGACTTGGACGTAGGCGTCGGTCGCGAGCATGAGCATAAGAAAAAGAAGCACAAAGACGGTGGACACATTAAGTATGTCATTGCTGCGCTCTTAACAGCAATGGGCATTGCCGGTCCTCTCGGCCTCAAGGCGCTTGCTGCTATTGCCGGCAAGGCGCTTGTGATTAGCAAAGTCGCTCTGACCATTGCAGGCATAATAGCGCTCAAGAAGCTCTTTTCGCACGATCACAGCGAGGAGACCAGCTTCCAGGTGCACGCCGGCGAGCACAACAGGTAACTCTGATGCTATACATGTGCCCAGACACTACAAATCAATTATAACCAACAATTTCAGACGCAACACGTATGTCATCAGGCCCGTCTCGAAAACAAATGCTGGCGTGGGAGTAACAGCTGCTGGCGGTAGCTCCCCGGTGGATCCATATCGCTACTACTACGAGTACCAACAGCAGTAGAAAAAGAGCTCAAGTCATTGTTCAGGTTGCGTAAGCGTGTGGGTGTGTATATGTATGATATGTGCTTAAACGTCGTTAATCTCCAAAGCCGATGCAGCTAGACTACCAAAGAAACGAGCCGATCCGAATGCAGTGAGATGAAATACTTACATCCTTTTGTGCGTTAAGAGACAGCCGCTAGCTTCTACTGTAGCTCTTTAGCTTAAGTGTAAAATAAGTTATTTCCCAAAGGGTCGCAAATAATAAACAAGTATTAAGTGTTATAATGAAGTTTTCTCACAATATTTTATTCAGGATTTTAATTATATACATATTTTCGAAGACTAAGCGGTAGCGACACGATCGACAAGATATAAAAAGAACACTATAGTCGAGTGCAACCCACTGCAGATGTCTATGTATGCTCTAAAATATTTTAGATACCCATTAGTCGGAATCATCAGATACAACGTAGGTTATTTTTGCTTTTGTTCTGCGTCCTCTGTTGCAGGCGTCCAAAAGTCCTTGAGGACCGTTTGACGAATTCTGTGCGAAGCAAAAAGATAATGAATAACATGAACCAATGGTAAAATTGGGAAAAAAGCCTACTTTTGAGTTAATGGACACATCTAATTTAGCTTTAGCACGAGTTGACGCAGCACGATTTCCAGCTCCTCGGCCAGCTCCGCGGCCAGATCTCGCAGTGGATGTTGCCTGCGCATCAGACCTATTCACTTCGTTATTTGCTGTCTTGATGCTGGTTAGTGAGCTCTTAACTTCTGTCTTAACGCTAGAATCATCCAACATTTTAAGCAGATCATCGGCCTTATAGTGCTGTCTAAAATTTTCTATTTCATCATTAATATTCTCAATAGAAGGCATTGTATCCATTAAATGCTCGACAGCCTTTTCATTGTAAAATCTGCAATTTCAATTTTATAGAAAGTTTCTTTTCTGTATTGGCTGAAACAAACTTGAATATTTGATCAGCTGCGTTGTTGTCCGAACGTTCGACCATGCGATAAGTAACCTCCGCCAATGCCTTTGAGTGTAGAAGCTTGAGCGGATTTTTATCTTTCACTTCTTCGAAGTACCTATCTACTAGCTCTTCTACTCGCGCCGTGTTGTCCACCTCCTGAAAACACAATGTAAATATTGAATTACAAATGACAGTTTCTATTCAAGGTACTTGCTTACCATAACGCGCTGCATAGCATCTTTGTCTATATTAACCTTATCACTCTTGGTTCTTTTTATTAATTTCTCGAACTTTACAACATCCGCGACATTTGCTACACGTGTGCCAAAGATTTGGCCGAAACGAATGGTATTGAACATATACGTCTCATCAGTATAGCGGAGGCGCAGACGTATCAGTGGAATTGTCGGTTGCTTTGGATGACCCGTTAGCAGAGATTTGGCCTGTTCAATCATGGCCTCTACACGCTTTATGGCAAAGTTGTAGACCTTTATGGAAGCATCGCCCTCTTTTAGATTCAGTTTGTCAACGTAGTCCTCTAGATCAATTGACTCAAAAATAAATGGACGCACAGTTTGCAAAGGGATTGGCTTAAGATTAAACTTAGTTTTGTAAATCTCCAACAGGCCCACATGTTTCTTTATCGACTCGCCTTTGGCCAGCGAGGTGGCCACCGACGAACCTGGCTGGGAAACGTAAAAATCACGTACAGCGTTTACTTCCGGTTCAATGCGACAATCGTGTTCATGACCCCAAATTACTAAATTCAGAAAGGCAGGCAATAGGTCTTCAGGCAGATAGTTCTTTGGACCTCGATCTGCGCGATTTTGATGCACCACCATTAAGTGAAACCAGTCCTCCTCAGACTCATTGGGACAGTTGATAGTCACTTGAAAGTCCTTGAAGATACGCACCAGCCGTGCGTCGTGAATGTGGCTTAATCCATACAGTGACAACTTAGTTTCGCCCTTTCGAATTAAGATGGGGCTTATCTCTACTTTCGTAAGATCTGTCCAGCGTCCAAAATAATTAATAAGTCCCGTTGTGCTAAGCAAATCTAAGGAGCTCAAACGGCCAAAGCCACTCGGGTCGTCATGATTGCCGTGTATAGAAAATACTGGTATGGAAATATTCAAATTAGGATCTTCGTAGTTTACCGACTGGTTGACAGCATTGTAAAAACAAAGCGACTGATCACTAAGTATTTCCAGCGGTACGGGCTTATCGCCAAATGTATATCGCCTCAGCAATTCGATGCATCTGAAAGAGAAATTCAAATATAAAAAAATAGAAGTTCTCTAATGGAGTCTACTCACCTGTACATAGCATTCTGGCTTGGCACTGAGTCATGAAATAAATCACCACCAAGCAATATCATATCCACATCCTCGGACACTGCCAGTTCCAATATTTCCTCAAATGATGTAAAACTGTCTTCGCCGCGAACTGCGTCCTTTTCAGCGTATCCCAAATGATTGTCTGTAGCTACTAATATGCGGATTATGTTATCCACATCCTTTTCAGCCGCATCTGCTCCTGCCATATTTATTATAGCTTTACTACACAAAGTTTACTTTCCAAAACGGAATTTCACAACAGAAGCGCGGGCCGTGCTGCGATTTATCGATAAACTACCAATCAGCTGATGCTTCTTAACATAATTAAGGTATGGCAACGCTGCTAGACATTTAATAATTATATACTTTACATAAATAATCAATTAAAAATCAAAACTTACATTAGCAAAAAATTTACTTTCACTTTTAACTCTCAGGTGTCTTCGTTGTGCGGCTTTTGACATATATTCAAAGCCAGACAGTTTATATGAATATAAAACAAACCTATGATAGTACTACTTATATTAAATTATTTATTTATTTTAAATTTACCGAATTTTTCATTTTACATACATGCGAAATATAAATATTTTTATTGAGTTTGGTACAAAAGCAACAAATGGCAGCACGGCTCCTAGTATGATCGACAGGGTTGTATTGCACTATTGTGAATTAATACTATAAAAAGTATTTAAATGTGAATCTCTGTGGCAATCGAAAGCTGTGCTTATATTTAATTTAACAATTAAATAATTTAATCAAGTTTTACTATTTCAAATAATTTATACAGTGACAGCTATATTATTGTGATAGTGTCGTCATACGATTACAGGGCGTAGGGGCTAAGTCATAGAGTAAGCTGATACTGGTTAAGGCACGTTAACTAAGTTCCTTTTATAAGAATATTGCAAGCCTAGCTTCATTTTAAATTCGAAATAATCTCTGCTTACATAGTTTTGCTCCCAACAGAAATTACTAAAAATTGAATTTTGTAACTCAGGGACTCACTGTACCTCAGTTAAAAAATTCAATTTTTAATCATTTCTGATGGGAGCAAAACTATGTAAGCACACCTTATACATTATTATAATATAAAGATTTTGGTGTTCTTAAATATATTAAATAGATTGAAAAGGATCCAAGGTAAAGTGATTGGTTTATTCCTATCTTGCTATTTTGTTTATTCTTACCCCGGGGATCCATACATTAATTACTACGAGTTTAACAAGCAGTGGAGAAAAGAACTCAGGTTAGATGAGTGGACATATAAGCCGATGCAGATAAACTTTATGTGTTAAGCAACAGTCGCTAACTGCTAGTCCCAAGTTACTTTCATGTGATTTGTAAAAATAAATATTTGTTTTTATAAAAAACTTATGTTTCCACAGTAATTTAAATTTCTATGAGAAGGTAAGTTTTTGCTTAATATAATAAAAACGATTGACTTCAAATTTTAATTTAATCCTTAATATATTTGCAAAATATGTGTTCCTGACATTGCAAGATATTGCACGAATTCTTAATTACGTTGACTGGAATGAGAATTGGGAATCCAAAAGAAGCGACCTGGACAGTAAAACAAAATAAGAACTTCGCACGGGGGTGCAATTTTGCATATTTCTCTGACTCAAATAAATACCTGTTGAGCACACAATTAATAACACGATTCAAATGCAACACACAAAAGGAGCTTACTTTTGTTTTATGGGCAATTTTGAATTTAGCTTGAGATGGTGCATCAGAAAAATCCATTTCGTCCGTATTTGCACTGCTGTCCACAGCGGATATGTTAGCATTCAACATTTTAGGCAAATCGTGCAGCCTAACATTCTCTATTTCATCTAATATATTCTCAACAGAAGGCTTCGGCAATATCAATATTTATTAAAAGTTCTTTCTTCCGTAAAAATCTTAAGAATCTGGTCCGCTGCATTGTTGTCTGTATGCTTGACCAATGCCTTGAAATGTAGAAACTTCAGTGGCTCTTTTTCCTTCAAATTCTAATTCTTCTATGTCTACAGATTTTCTTTGTAAGAATTTAAATTAAAGGTGATTAATAATAAATCCTTACGTGAGCTAAAAATTTGACTGAAACTAATAGTATAGTTTTTCGAAGTGTAGATCGATTTACTCAGCTGCAGCTGCAGCGGCTGCAGAATCTCATGTTGCCTCGCCCTTTATTAGCGATGTGGCTACCAAGGACCCCGGCTAGTAAACATTGACATGACCCAAAGAGTTCCGTTTAAAATCAACGTAACTATCGTGCTCGTGACCACAAATAACCAATTTCAGAAATTCTGGCAGACGCAACTCGAGGATGTTGCGTCCATTGTGGACAGTTTTGATGTATAACTATCTATTAATAAAACCCCTTTTCCAACACATTGTCACTATTAAAATTGATTTAAAACTCCTCAAACATACGAACCAGCCGTTCATCCTGAATTTGGTCATAGGCCCTTTGTCCATTTTCGTAATATCTGTCGAGCGTCTAAAATAATTAATAAGCTCGGCCAAAGCCGCTCGGGTCGTCAAGATTGCCGTGAATATATAACCGACTTTTTGACTGCGCTGTGAAAGGAAAGCGATTGATCTCTTATTATTTCCAGGGGTACGGGCTTATCGCCAAATGTAATCGAAGCATCTGGAAGAGCAATTCAAGTTCAAATCTATTAACTTATTGTAGATTTATTGTAAGGGATCTACTCACTTTAACGAATTATTCATATTGAAATCCAAGCCCATTTCCAATATGTCGAAGAACTGTCTTTGCTACGTACCGCGTCCTTCTCAGCGTATCCTACATGAGTGTCTGTGGCTACCAATAAGCGGATACTATTGCCTATATCCTTTTTAGTCGCATCTGCCTCCGACACGTTCGCTAAAACTATACTCGATCTTTTATTCAACAATTTATCGATTTTATTGATGTTTTTATTGATTTTTTCATAGTTTTTATTAAAGTTCGCTCGTTTTAAGGAAGGATATAAGTAATTCTAATATGCGAGATCTTTCATTGAAGCACAATCTCCATAAATCATGGTATAGGCAATATGTCTTTAGTGTTTAGTATGTTTTCATTTTCATAGTAATATATATTTTCATACATTTTCTCTGCGTTCATGAAGTGAAAGAGTATTTTGGTTTTGTGCAATGTCCGTTTTTCTGTCTGTCCGCCCTAACGTGTAAGGAATACGATACGCCCTCAAGGAATGTGACGAATCGGTCATTACAATGTGTACTATAACTGAAAAGCCTTTTTATTTAAGGAGCTAAAGAGTAGAGATTTGGAATACATAGATGTATACTCATGCAGACAACCCGAGAGAACCAATTATAGGAGATAAGGACTATTGTGTTTTCCTATTTTATTTCACAAAAACTTAAAATTAAAATTAAAATAAAAATAGTATTTCGACCGAACAATTGAACTATATTAAAAGTAGATTATTTACTTTGTATTGTTACATCCCTTGAGAATAGCCTTATTTCCTCTTCTATAAAAATAAAAATCCCTATTATTAAATAGTATATAGCTTGAGTGACATATACTCCTGTATATTTTCGATTACCCTTATGCAAATCAGTTCAAAATTATATGTTTACCCATTCTGTTCCATTCCGTTCGAATCACAGCCTGCTTCTACTCACTAAATGATGAATTTGTTCAATCCAAATATGGCATTATGACTTGATTGATAACTCGCTTGTTCGAATGCCATGAAAGATGGTGTACGAATGGCTTTACAATGATTATTAGTTTTTCAGCTTCCAGCAAAGTTTTCAGTCCGATTGAGTCATTCATGTAGATTTCCCGTTTGTAAAATGGAACCACATCCAATGATTCATTAAAGTAACTAAAATGACTAAAGTAAACATGGCGCAAGTCCAGTTAACTATGATGTACATATTACATTAGATTTTTTATATATTATATGTTACCTAGATTGCCATGGTGTAATAACACCATCATTGGGTCCTCCAATTAGTACAAGCTTATTCAGCCGAACCATTCCCATTTTGAACGATGTTGAATTGGAGCTAAGCTTCTCATTGTTTATCAATGGTAAGAATTCGCTATATTTCATATATAGGGCTTGTTTGTGCGGATCGTTCCAGTACCCACCCACAGACGTGTGTTGACCCACGCGAGAGTAAAATAGTTCAAATGCAGTCTTTGCCGCAAGATCCGGGAAAATTAAGTGCAAGAAACTAGCTGAAAATATAAATAAATGAAAAAACGCATCTGATAATATAGTTCTAATTCACGTACTTCCATATTGTCCAGCTTGGACGGTGGACACATTAAGTATGTCATTGCTGCGCTCTTAACAGCAATGGGCATTGCCGGTCCTCTCGGCCTCAAGGCGCTTGCTGCTATTGCCGGCAAGGCGCTTGTGATTAGCAAAGTCGCTCTGATCATTGCAGGCATAATAGCGCTCAAGAAGCTTTTTTCGCACGATCACAGCGAGGAGACCAGCTTCCAGGTGCACGCCGGCGAGCACAACAGGTAACTCTGATGCTATACATGTGCCCAGACACTACAAATCAATTATAACCAACAATTTCAGACGCAACACGTATGTCATCAGGCCCGTCTCGAAAACAAATGCTGGCGTGGGAGTAACAGCTGCTGGCGGTAGCTCCCCGGTGGATCCATATCGCTACTACTACGAGTACCAACAGCAGTAGAAAAAGAGCTCAAGTCATTGTTCAGGTTGCGTAAGCGTGGGTGTGTATATGTATGATATGTGCTTAAACGTCGTTAATCTCCAAAGCCGATGCAGCTAGACTACCAAAGAAACGAGCCGATCCGAATGCAGTGAGATGAAATACTTACATCCTTTTGTGCGTTAAGAGACAGCCGCTAGCTTCTACTGTAGCTCTTTAGCTTAAGTGTAAAATAAGTTATTTCCCAAAGGGTCGCAAATAATAAACAAGTATTAAGTGTTATAATGAAGTTTTCTCAAAATATTTTATTCAGGATTTTAATTATATACATATTTTCGAAGACTAAGCGGTAGCGACACGATCGACAAGATATAAAAAGAACACTATAGTCGAGTGCAACCCACTGCAGATGTCTATGTATGCTCTAAAATATTTTAGATACCCATTAGTCGGAATCATCAGATACAACGTAGGTTATTTTTGCTTTTGTTCTGCGTCCTCTGTTGCAGGCGTCCAAAAGTCCTTGAGGACCGTTTGACGAATTCTGTGCGAAGCAAAAAGATAATGAATAACATGAACCAATGGTAAAATTGGGAAAAAAGCTTACTTTTGAGTTAATGGACACATCTAATTTAGCTTTAGCACGAGTTGACGCAGCACGATTTCCAGCTCCTCGGCTAGCTCCGCGGCCAGATCTCGCAGTGGATGTTGCCTGCGCATCAGACCTATTCGCTTCGTTATTTGCTGTCTTGATGCTGGTTAGTGAGCTCTTAACTTCTGTCTTAACGCTAGAATCATCCAACATTTTAAGCAGATCGTCGGCCTTATAGTGCTGTCTAAAGTTTTCTATTTCATCATTAATATTCTCAATAGAAGGCATTGTATCCATTAAATGCTCGACAGCCTTTTCATTGTAAAATCTGCAATTTCAATTTTATAGAAAGTTTCTTTTCTGTATTGGCTGAAACAAACTTGAATATTTGATCAGCTGCGTTGTTGTCCGAACGCTCGACCATGCGATAAGTAACCTCCGCCAATGCCTTTGAGTGTAGAAGCTTGAGCGGATTTTTATCTTTTACTTCTTCGAAGTACCTATCTACTAGCTCTTCTACTCGCGCCGTGTTGTCCACCTCCTGAAAACACAATATAAATATTGAATTACAAATGACAGTTTCTATTCAAGGTACTTGCTTACCATAACGCGCTGCATAGCATCTTTGTCTATATTAACCTTATCACTCTTGGTTCTTTTTATTAACTTCTCGAACTTTACAACATCCGCGACATTTGCCACACGTGTGCCAAAGATTTGGCCGAAACGAATGGTATTGAACATATACGTCTCATCAGTATAGCGGAGGCGCAGACGTATCAGTGGAATTGTCGGTTGCTTTGGATGACCCGTTAGCAGAGATTTGGCCTGTTCAATCATGGCCTCTACACGCTTTATGGCAAAGTTGTAGACCTTTATGGAAGCATCGCCCTCTTTTAGATTCAGTTTGTCAACGTAGTCCTCTAGATCAATTGACTCAAAAATAAATGGACGCACAGTTTGCAAAGGGATTGGCTTAAGATTAAACTTAGTTTTGTAAATCTCCAACAGGCCCACATGCTTCTTTATTGACTCGCCTTTGGCCAGCGAGGTGGCCACCGACGAACCTGGCTGGGAAACGTAAAAATCACGTACAGCGTTTACTTCCGGTTCAATGCGGCAATCGTGTTCATGACCCCAAATTACTAAATTCAGAAAGGCAGGCAATAGGTCTTCAGGCAGATAGTTCTTTGGACCTCGATCTGCGCGATTTTGATGCACCACCATTAAGTGAAACCAGTCCTCCTCAGACTCATTGGGACAGTTGATAGTCACTTGAAAGTCCTTGAAGATACGCACCAGCCGTGCGTCGTGAATGTGGCTTAATCCATACAGTGACAACTTAGTTTCGCCCTTTCGAATTAAGATGGGGCTTATATCTACTTTCGTAAGATCTGTCCAGCGTCCAAAATAATTAATAAGTCCCGTTGTGCTAAGCAAATCTAAGGAGCTCAAACGGCCAAAGCCACTCGGGTCGTCATGATTGCCGTGTATAGAAAATACTGGTATGGAAATATTCAAATTAGGATCTTCGTAGTTTACCGACTGGTTGACAGCATTGTAAAAACAAAGCGATTGATCACTAAGTATTTCCAGCGGTACGGGCTTATCGCCAAATGTATATCGCCTCAGCAATTCGATGCATCTGAAAGAGAAATTCAAATATAAAAAATAGAAGTTCTCTAATGGAGTCTACTCACCTGTACATAGCATTTTGGCTTGGCACTGAGTCATGAAATAAATCACCACCAAGCAATATCATATCCACATCCTCGGACACTGCCAGTTCCAATATTTCCTCAAATGATGTAAAACTGTCTTCGCCGCGAACTGCGTCCTTTTCAGCGTATCCCAAATGATTGTCTGTAGCTACTAATATGCGGATTATGTTATCCACATCCTTTTCAGCCGCATCTGCTCCTGCCATATTTATTATAGCTTTACCACACAAAGTTTACTTTCCAAAACGGAATTTCACAACAGAAGCGCGGGCCGTGCTGCGATTTATCGATAAACTACCAATCAGCTGATGCTTCTTAACATAATTAAGGTATGGCAACGCTGCTAGACATTTAATAATTATATACTTTACATAAATAATCAATTAAAAAATCAAAACTTACATTAGCAAAAAATTTATTTTCACTTTTAACTCTCAGGTGTCTTCGTTGTGCGGCTTTTGACATATATTCAAAGCCAGACAGTTTATATGAATATAAAACAAACCTATGATAGTACTACTTATATTAAATTATTTATTTATTTTAAATTTACCGAATTTTTCATTTTACATACATGCGAAATATAAATATTTTTATTGAGTTTGGTACAAAAGCAACAAATGGCAGCACGGCTCCTAGTATGATCGACAGGGTTGTATTGCACTATTGTGAATTAATACTATAAAAAGTATTTAAATGTGAATCTCTGTGGCAATCGAAAGCTGTGCTTATATTTAATTTAACAATTAAATAATTTCATCAAGTTTTACTATTTCAAATAATTTATATAGTGACAGCTATATTATTGTGATAGTGTCGTCATACGATTACAGGGCGTAGGGGCTAAGTCATAGAGTAAGCTGATACTGGTTAAGGCACGTTAACTAAGTTCCTTTTATAAGAATATTGCAAGCCTAGCTTCATTTTAAATTCGAAATAATCTCTGCTTACATAGTTTTGCTCCCAACAGAAATTACTAAAAATTGAATTTTGTAACTCAGGGACTCACTGTACCTCAGTTAAAAAATTCAATTTTTAATCATTTCTGATGGGAGCAAAACTATGTAAGCACACCTTATACATTATTATAATATAAAGATTTTGGTGTTCTTAAATATATTAAATAGATTGCCAAGGATCCAAGGTAAAGTGATTGGTTTATTCCTATCTTGCTATTTTGTTTATTCTTACCCCGGGGATCCATACATTAATTACTACGAGTTTAACAAGCAGTAGAGAAAAGAGCTCAGATTAGATGGGCCGATGCAGATAAACTTTCTGTGTTAAGCAACAGTCGCTAACTGCTAGTCCCAAGTTACTTTCATGTGATTTGTAAAAATAAATATTTGTTTTTATAAAAAACTTATGTTTCCACAGTAATTTAAATTTCTATGAGAAGGTAAGTTTTTGCTTAATATAATAAAAACGATTGACTTCAAATTTTAATTTAATCCTTAATATATTTGCAAAATATGTGCTCCTGACATTGCAAGATATTGCACGAATTCTTAATTACGTTGACTGGAATGAGAATTGGGGGTGCAATTTTGCATATTTCTCTGACTCAAATAAATACCTGTTGAGCATACAATTAATAACACGATTCAAATGCAACACACAAAAGGAGCTTACTTTTGTTTTATGGGCAATTTTGAATTTAGCTTGAGATGGTGCATCAGAAAAATCCATTTCGTCCGTATTTGCACTGCTGTCCACAGCGGATATGTTAGCATTCAACATTTTAGGCAAATCGTGCAGCCTAACATTCTCTATTTCATCTAATATATTCTCAACAGAAGGCTTCGGCAATATCAATATTTATTAAAAGTTCTTTCTTCCGTAAAAATCTTAAGAATCTGGTCCGCTGCATTGTTGTCTGCATGCTTGACCAGTGCCTTGAAATGTAGAAACTTCAGTGGCTCTTTTTCCTTGAAATTCTAATTCTTCTTCTAAAAATTTGACTGAAACTAATAGTATAGTTTTTCGAAGTGTAGATCGATTTACTCAGCTGCAGCTGCAGCGGCTGCAGAATCTCATGTTGCCTCGCCCTTTATTAGCGATGTGGCTACCAAGGACCCCGGCTAGTAAACATTGACATGACCTAAAGAGTTACGTTTAAAATCAACGTAACTGTCGTGCTCGTGACCACAAATAACCAATTTCAGAAATTCTGGCAGACGCAACTCGAGGATGTTGCTTCCATTGTGGACAGTTTTGATGTATAACTATCTATTAATAACACCCCTTTTCCAACACATTGTCACTATTAAAATTGATTTAAAACTCCTCAAACATACGAACCAGCCGTTCATCCTGAATTTGGTTATAGGCCCTTTGTCCATTTTCGTAATATCTGTCGAGCGTCTAAAATAATTAATAAGCTCGGCCAAAGCCGCTCGGGTCGTCAAGATTGCCGTGAATATATAACCGACTTTTTGACTGCGCTGTGAAAGGAAAGCGATTGATCTCTTATTATTTACAGGGGTACGGGCTTATCGCCAAATGTAATCGAAGCATCTGGAAGAGCAATTCAAGTTCAAATCTATTAACTTATTGTAGATTTATTGTAAGGGATCTACTCACTTTAACGAATTATTCATATTGAAATCCAAGCCCATTTCCAATATGTCGAAGAACTGTCTTTGCTACGTACCGCGTCCTTCTCAGCGTATCCTACATGAGTGTCTGTGGCTACCAATAAGCGGATACTATTGCCTATATCCTTTTTAGTCGCATCTGCCTCCGACACGTTCGCTAAAACTATACTCGATCTTTTATTCAACAATTTATTGATTTTATTGATGTTTTTATTGATTTTTTCATAGTTTTTATTAAAGTTCACTCGTTTTAAGGAAGGATATAAGTAATTCTAAAATGCGAGATCTTTCATTGAAGCACAATCTCCAGAAATCATGGTATAGGCAATATGTCTTTAGTGTTTTAGTATGTTTTCATTTTCATAGTAATATATATTTTCATACATTTTCTCTGCGTTCATGAAGTGAAAGAGTATTTTGGTTTTGTGCAATGTCCGTTTTTCTGTCTGTCCGCCCTAACGTGTAAGGAATACGATACGCCCTCAAGGAATGTGACGAATCGGTCATTACAATGTGTACTATAACTGAAAAGCCTTTTTATTTAAGGAGCTAAAGAGTAGAGATTTGGAATACATAGATGTATACTCATGCAGACAACCCGAGAGAACCAATTATAGGAGATAAGGACTATTGTGTTTTCCTATTTTATTTCACAAAAACTTAAAATTAAAATTAAAATAAAAATAGTATTTCGACCGAACAATTGAACTATATTAAAAGTAGATTATTTACTTTGTATTGTTACATCCCTTGAGAATAGCCTTATTTCCTCTTCTATAAAAATAAAAATCCCTATTATTAAATAGTATATAGCTTGAGTGACATATACTCCTGTATATTTTCGATTACCCTTATGCAAATCAGTTCAAAATTATATGTTTACCCATTCTGTTCCATTCCGTTCGAATCACAGCCTGCTTCTACTCACTAAATGATGAATTTGTTCAATCCAAATATGGCATTATGACTTGATTGATAACTCGCTTGTTCGAATGCCATGAAAGATGGTGTACGAATGGCTTTACAATGATTATTAGTTTTTCAGCTTCCAGCAAAGTTTTCAGTCCGATTGAGTCATTCATGTAGATTTCCCGTTTGTAAAATGGAACCACATCCAATGATTCATTAAAGTAACTAAAATGACTAAAGTAAACATGGCGCAAGTCCAGTTAACTATGATGTACATATTACATTAGATTTTTTATATATTATATGTTACCTAGATTGCCATGGTGTAATAACACCATCATTGGGTCCTCCAATTAGTACAAGCTTATTCAGCCGAACCATTCCCATTTTGAACGATGTTGAATTGGAGCTAAGCTTCTCATTGTTTATCAATGGTAAGAATTCGCTATATTTCATATATAGGGCTTGTTTGTGCGGATCGTTCCAGTACCCACCCACAGACGTGTGTTGACCCACGCGAGAGTAAAATAGTTCAAATGCAGTCTTTGCCGCAAGATCCGGGAAAATTAAGTGCAAGAAACTAGCTGAAAATATAAATAAATGAAAAAACGCATCTGATAATATAGTTCTATTTCACGTACTTCCATATTGTCCAGCTTGGGGTGAAGATAGCGATATAAAGGTTTTTACATTGTGGTTGGGAAGACTTTGTATTGCCGCCCTCGCCAAGATCCCACCTTGAGAGTAGCCTGTGGATGGAGGATCAGAAATCAACCAATGAAAATGACTATATAATTATTAACAAACCTAAAACAATTATGCCTTCCGTATGCAATTTTCCAATTTTATCTGAAATGAAACATAATTAAGATATAGTAGACCTTTTTAATGCCAATAACTCACCTATATATTCCTTTATCTGTTCGACTTGCCACCAGGCATTCTCCAGGCTGGACCAACCGCTGAACTTATCGCAGTTGTACACAACTGTACCCGGATGCAACTAGACAGTAATTAAATGGAATTCAGGAATTGACTTTGAACTCGTCATCGGGCACAAATGAACAATAACAAAGGAAGGTCTCACCCACTGCACTTACTTTCTCGATATGTCGCACCAAAACTGTCATAGATTCTGCGCCTGATAATATGCCATGGAGTATTACAACTGGCTTGTACGCCAGAGACCCAACAAAGCACATACATAACATCAGCAAGTACTTTATTTTCATTTTTTATTCCGCTATCGACGCGCGTCCTAAATAAAAGTCTTTTGCGTTTGATTTATTTCCATGGCTATAATGGCCTACTGTTAACAAAAGAGTGAGTATGTTAACAGAGGAAAACAGCTGCTATGTTAACCAGCTGTTGATGAATCAAAATTAGTATGCATCTCATCTTAAAGTTGAGGCAAAAATTGTATGTAAAAAATTAATTTGCAAAACAAATAATATAACAAAAAAATAAATAAATAATATATATATAATGATACTCATTTATTCCTTTCTCAACTTAGACAATTTTGTTATGTACTTTGCACTAATGAATCTCTTCTTAAATATATAATGTAGATGCGGCAAAACAATTAAATACATCGAACTTATCAAGCCCTTAATTTCCATTCACTTTTACAATTACATTTTCAATATATATATATATATACATATATATGTACGTATTATATATCGCTGATTTACTTGAAGCTGCTTATTAATATTTATTTATTACTAATAATAGAAGTGCTCAACCAGGCCGTTCGATACTTCTGTTTCAGTTTCAGCTTCAGCTACAGTTATTGAACTTCATCCAGCCACCTCCTCGCTGACAAAGTCCAGCTTAACAACCTCTGCGGGCAGACACTCCTCCACATCGTTCTCCTGCACATTTATCCTGTTCAGCGTCATCGATACATCGGGTCCACATTTAAGTCCAGCATTTGTTGATGTGTTTGATGTGGTGCTAACCACATCCTCAGCAACCACAACAGCACCTACTGCAGCTGCTGCTGCTACTGCTGTTGCTCCAACACTTGGCGACAATACTGAGCTATTTGAATTGGCAGGCACAATGATTTGTTGTGTTGCAGTTGTCGCTACAATTGGCAGCGATGTTTGCTGCATCGCAGTCGTTGATGTGGGCTGCTGTATGATGATATTCTCTGTGATGGTTGGCGTATTGGCTGCTGCCGCTGCCGCTGCAGCAGCTTGTGCTGCAGCTAATGCTGCAGCTTTTTGTTGTTGCATTTGCTGAAATTGTTTGATTGTCACAGTTGTTGTTGTCGTCGTTGTTTGCTGTGGCTGCAAAATGATTTGCTTTGCTTGCTGCGGCTGTTGTTGCTGCGGTTGTTGCTGCTGGATGATGTGTGATTTAAATAAGTGTTGCTGTTGCGGCTGCTGTTGCTGCACAATGGGCAATTGCTGTACTGTTTGAATGACATGCTGCACCTGCTGCACGGGCACTTGTTTAGCTGGTATCCCAGCATCCTCGAATGCCTTCTTCTTCAACGCTTGTCGTATTTGAGAGCTGTGGATAGCAAAGTTCATTTTAATGAGTTTACTGTAGTTCGTATCATGTTCTCTCGCTCTTACACTGTGCGATTTTTAATGCTTAAACTGATTTTGCTCAGATCATCGGAGAAGCGCATTATGGACGAGTGTAACATGTCAATTTCCTCATCTGTCCATTTACTGTGGCATAGCGAGGGAACATGAAATTCAGTTGTATTTCATTTTTAGTTAAAGCTCCCCTTAATTTATAGCTGGCTCTCACTTACCCAGAGGGAGATTCAGCATTAGGATGCAATTGCATTGTCAGATCGCCGAGTCTGCTGAACGCTTGGCCCGCTGCCGTGAAAATTTCCCCAACCTGTGCAAAACAAAAAATATGCATATATATATTAAGATCAAGTTGTTGTTTACGCTTAGCCTGCGTTGCAAATTCAAAACAAACGCGCCCCGAGTAGCAAAACTCGCTAACATTCACAGTCGAAGGAGAGAGACGAACTAACTGAGGGACGCCCAGCCGCCAAAATTTTGCAACGCACATATGAAAACCACCATTTCAGCTGAGAAATGCACTTAAACTAATTAAAATTAGTTTCGCTGTCTTTAAACATACCTTTGTTGCCGAATTCATGGCCCACTTAAGCAGAATAACTTTTTTTTAATACAAGTTTTAATATGTGTGTGGTGGTTGGTCGACAATAGCTCGATCTATTAGCAGTGCAACCCTTGCATTTTCAATTTATCAACTTACTGTTATCGGTCAAATCGATAAGTGCGTTTGCAGTGTTTCCATCTCACACATATATCTGTGCACATGGTTGCCATGCGCGCCAAAGCTAATTTTATTTAAATTACGAGTGCCTCAGTTTAAAATGTAAGCAGTACAAATGGCACTCCATATTGCCTTTCTAATTATACACTTATACACATATATCCTACAAATACATATAATCACTTAACGTTGTAATACTATAAAATAAAAACAAACAAATAATTTATTTTGAGGATGCTACAGCATCGTTGCCAGCGACCTGACGCAGTTCATTCAGCTCATCTCTTCGCATTTTAAATGCCCTCTTAGCGAATTCATATTTATTGGTGAGCATGGAAATTTCTTTCCTTTGCGCTTCCAATTGGGACTGCAAATGCATAAAAATGTCAATTAGCTTTTACTTGTCAAATTGGTCACAGCTATAAAGAAATATACCTTAAGTGCGTTAATTTGACCAGCTGTTTGAGAAGATATATTAGAAGTATCGTTATTCTCATTTTGTCGTAACCGATTTTCCAAGTCTTTTATTTTATTATAGCGATGGCGACACAGTTGTATGCTATCCTGGAGCTTATCAGTCATTTTTTTTAGGTCCGTCTCCACATCGGATTCCGTTTGAGTTTCAACTGATGTTAAATTGGCGGAAGTTCGGCTACTGGCCGTGATGGCCGCAGAGGCACTGTAGACACTTATTTTACTCATAAGATCAGCATTCTTTTGCTTTATACGCTTGATTTCTTCACGCGCCTTGGCTTGCTCGTCGAGGAGGCGTTTCTTTAATGTGGCTGTCTCTTCCTTCAACGGATGGTTCTTCAACTCAATGTTTAGGGCAGTCACCATGCTTTCCTTTATGAACAGATCGCGTTGGCAATCCTGTAGCTTTTGATTAAGTTCTGCACAGTTGCAGTTGATATCTAAATGAGACAAAAGAAGATTAAATTATTGATTACCTGTTTGCAACTGATAGTTCTTGAGACCTACCTACGGGATCTGTCATACAGGCCACATGACGGAAATCATTCCAATAGGATTGACGTCTTCGCTCGTCGTGTGTGCTAATCCGTCGATTTCTGCGCACCTCAGACTCGATACTTAACGATTTCTAAGGGGAATACAGATATAGTTATATATTTTCAAGCTATGACAAAGGACTTTTTACCCTGGGCTGATTAGCATCACGATCCAAACTTTTTCTGGCTGCAAGCGATGGGCTCGATGTATTTGAATCACATGATATACTGCTGTCGTTACTTTTGGTTCTTAGGTCTGACTCCAGCTTCTTGAGTATCTCATTGGTTGTGCACAATTTCTCTTCCAACCCGCGTTTATCCTCCAAAAGACTAGAAATTGTGCCACCCAAGCGCATGCGTTCTTCGTCAAAGTTGTTCTTGTTCGATTTCTGCATTCCGCCAATTTTTAAATATATATACAACAATTAAATAATAGTGAATACTTACCAGGGAAGATCGTAGTTTATCAACTTCTCTTTGTAAGATTTCATTTTGCAATCGCAGTTCACTGACATTTTTATTGTGTTCTGCAACAGCAGCCGCTAGACGATCCTCCTGCTGTTTTGAGCCATCTTTCGTAGCATCGCAGCTGGTTTCCATGTCCTTTAACCTTGTCTGGAGTTGAGTAATGGTCTCCTGGAGACGACTCTCTAGGTTAGTGGACGATCTTATCTGCTGTTGCAATTGGTTCTGCAAAGCAATGCAATTCGCCTCCTTAGCCTCTAATTTACTTTGGAGTTGAGCATCATTTTCCCGTAAACAATTTTCCAGGTGGTTAAATGCTATCTTCTGCTGCTTCAAAGCTTCCTTCATTGGTTCGTTACTGGCTTCGATCTCATGTAACTTGGCTTGAAATTCAGATTTATTCTCCTGGAGACGATCCTCTAGGTGTTTCAATTGGTTCTGCAAAGCATCGCAATTTGCATCCCTAGACATTAGCTTCGACTGCAGTTGATAATTAGCTTCTAGGAGTTGATCTTTGTACGCCTGAAGTTGAGCAACTCCTTCTTCTAGTCTAGTTTTTTCCTCTTCGAGCCTGGATTTATCTTTTTCGAGTCTGGCTTTGTCCTCTTCGACTCGAACTTTGGCTTCTTCTATTTGTCCTTTGCCCACCTGAAGTCGAGTATTGCTTTCCTGAAGCAGGGCCGAATGCGCACGTTCCTTTTGCAAAAGATCCTGCATATTCAGCATATTCTTGAACTTAACTGTCAGCTGGTTGCTTGTTGACTCAGCCTCCAGTTTTTGACTCAACAAAGAGTCCAGCTTTAATTGCAGTTCACTCTTTGAGCTTTCCAACTCGATCAATTTTCGTTCGAATTGTTGAGCCTGTTGCAATATATTTTCCTCCAAATCTTGTAGTTTGTTCATTAAGCTGGACTGTTCGGAGCATCCCCGCTGCAAATCCAAGTGCAGTTTTTCAACCTCAGCCTTTCGTGTCGTTAGCTCATTGTTCGCCAATGACAATTCACTTTCAAGATTTTCCACTTTCTCTGCGAGTTTTACATTGAGATCGTTTGTCTGACAAAGCTGAGATTTAATTTGTTCATGATCCAGCAGAAGTTTTTCCATATCCAAAGCCTTTACAGTTGCCTGCTTGAGCTCAGTTGATAGGTCTTCAATCTTGGTATTTAAAGCTTCAATTTTGTCCACAAACTCAGCCTTTTCAACGGCCTTTGCTTCCAGCTCAACACGTAATTGTTCCGCTATGCTCGCCTGTTGTCGTTCATTTTGTTCCGTGGCCAGGTCATTGTTCAGACGTTCGATTGTCAGCTGACTTTCATCAACAGACCTCTGTAATGTGCTCTTCTCCAGCTGCAGTTTTTCCAAATTCAGCTCATGCTCAGTCTTCAGCCGCTCGTACTCATGAATCTGCGATTCATATTTCTCGTGCAGCTGCTGGACATTGTTATTAGAAGATGTGACAAATGCACGTTCTTTCTCTTCGTCCTGTTCCTTACTGCTCAATTTAACTTGCATCTGCTTGACTAGCTCTTCGAGATCTTGTTTCTCTTTGATCAATTGATCGACCTCGAGCTTATTCGAAGTTTTAACGGACAAAAGCTCTGATTCGCTTTCGGCGCACAGCTTGGAACAACGCTCCTCAGTCGATTCTAATTGTTTTTGCAGATTCTGCAAAGTAGATTCGTATCGATCCTTGCCCTCTTCCCATTCAATATTGTATTTGCGCAGATTTTCACGATATTCACACTCGCTGAGTTCAATTTTCTGTAAATACTCGAGTTGCACATTGTTAAGATGATCTTTATTCTGTTTCTCCATCAATTTTAACTCCTTTTGGGCATTATCCAATGCGATTTGCATGTCGGTGACACGTTTCTCGTATTCCTCCTTCGAGCACTCCAGTTCGGAGGTCTGCGCAAGACGCAGTTTTAATGCTTCGACAGTTTCCTCAGCCTTGATGCTACGCTCCAGCAGCTGAGCTTTGGACTCCTGAAGTTTATCGATACGATTTGCATCTTCCGTCAACTTGGCAGCCTGTCGTTCGATTAGCTGTTCGTTTTGTCGAGCATTTGCTTGTAGTTCCACCTGCATCACTTCCATTGATATACAACGTTCATTTAGCTCATGCAACTCGGACTGAATCTTTTCAATTAGATCATCCTTCAGCTGGATTTGCGCCTGTAGCCCATTAACTTCGGCATTCAAATCAGACAAATTGAATGCAACATCCTCGTTTTGCCTCTCCTCCCCACACATCAGAGTCTGTGCGCTAGTCGACATGAGCTGACTCTCGTTTATGGTGTTTTCTTTGATTTTCTCCTGCAGTTCCTCACAGACTATTGTCATTGCACTCTGCTGCTTCTCCAAGGATTCGATTTGGCGTTGATAGTCCTCAACTTTGTTGACTATAACTGATTTCTCCAGCAACGCCGACTCTAGATTTGTCATCTGCTCACGCATCTCATTGATTGTACCTTCCATTGCATCTATAAGCGTACTTTTCTCAGCGACTTCACTCTCCAATTGACCGATATGTGCGAGCAGCTGCTCGATTCTCTGATCCTTTTCATCTGCGTTCTTTGTTGCCATTTGCTGCTTTTGCACTTCCGCTTGCAGCGTGTTGCACTTTTCACGCAGACTGTCACCCTCCTGCATGCTCTCAACTAGCTGATTAGATAAATCTTCGTATTCGCGTTGCATTTCCATATACTTGGACTCCAATTGAGCTAGGTTATCAACGAGTTCGTCATTGTGCGCCTTCAACTGCTGCAAAATGACCGCCTTCTCACAGTCATCCGCATTTTCGGTCTGCAGCAGCGTCTGTTGCACCTCCTCGAAAGATTCCTTTAACGTGCTAATTTCATTCTGCAAACATTCATTTTGGCTCAACAATTTTCTATGCTGATCCTCAGTGGCTGCTGTTGTTTGTTCGAGGAGTTCATAGTCTTGCTGTAATTTCTGATACTTTGCCTGTATGGCATCGTACTCAGCTTGCATGCGTAGAATGATCTGATCATGTTGCTGCTGTGCTATCTCCAAATCGTCGTATTTCTCCTGGAGCACAGTCTTGGCTTCCTCGGCAGAGATGACATCGCGGCTTAGTCGTTCGCAAAGCTCCGACTTTTCAGCCACATCCGTTGTCATTTGTCTGTAGGCGCTCTGCACACTTTCCAGCTGAGCACGCGTGCTGGCGATCTCTGTACGCAGCAGCTCACGTTCACTGTCGATGGACTGGGCAGCATCACCGTTAGGTGTTGTCTTCTTAAAATCCTCTAGCATGCGTTCCAGATCCGCACACTTGTCACAGATACGCTCGCAACTGATTTCAATTTCTGGGCACACGGAACGCATATGATCTTCTTTACTGTTGCGTAGCACATCCTTAGATAATTCCTTGAGTGTCTTCTCGAGAGTTTCTATGGTGTCTGCCTTCTCAGATAGCACCGACAGTAGTTCATTTTCCCTCAGCTTTGATTTCGATTTATGATTCTCGAACTGAAACTCCAAATCGACAGCCGCACGATTTTCCATCTCCAGCCTGTCGACTGTTTGCGTCAGCGTCTTCAGCTTCTCTTCGTATTGCTCGATTTTTTTATCAGCTGTTTGCTTCGACTTGCTCAGAGCATCTAACTCCGCTTGAAGGTCTTCGCAGCTGAAATTAGATATAACAAAATATTCGATTTTCCAATTAGAATTGAGTGGAGATAAAATCTTTAATTATTTAATTAAAACTGAACCATATATGATAATTCTCTATATTATAATTCGTAAGATACGCACGAACTTTTAAGATCTGTTGGCCGCTGTAGTTGGGATCCACTTTTAAGGAACATGCATTAATTATAGCGAGCTACCTATAAATAGAGACTGTTGCAGCTGCCTGCAGATGCTCACAGACAGTCTTCCAGTTGAGGTTGAAGCTATAACAAATAGACACAACACACACGTACACACATACATGCACACACAAACATTTGCGTTACACGAACATATTTACAAATATAAAATTATTCGCTGCGCTGTTGCATTCGCTTTTACTCATGCATATGCATACATATATATTTTTACTCACACACTACTTATGTTTGGTTGAGGGCCAATTTACTTGTGAGTTACATCAGAGAGCAGTTGGGCATAAAGTAGTTATAAGACTGACTGAAGACGTCATCGATCGACGCGGGCGTTGAGTAGTAGGTGCGGCGCGGATTGCTGGACAGCTGAGTTCAAAGTAAAATTAACTTGTGGAGCAACAAAAATGTATCGACAAACGACGTTAAGTGGTTTATTGTTAAGATCGTTTTTTGCTTATCGCATTCGCGCAGTCAAACGTCAGGGCAATCGGCTGTGCTAAAAATTATTCGCAAAACTCGCTCCCATCACCTATGTATAGGTTCAGTGCTATCAAAACAAAACGCTTAACAATACGCTGTGTGAGTGGGCTTTGCTAAGCATTTGTTTATCTTCCAGACGACTTGATGTAGCCCATGCTTGCCTCTCGCTCACGTCGTTGTCGGCAACTGATTCAGAGAAGACGAAACAAAACGAATGCTACAAAATAGAAGAGACGCCAAAAAAAAGTTCAACACGAGTTGGCTTAATGGGGCGCACCTGAAGTGGTGAATTGCGCTTTCAAATCGACAGCCAACAGAAAACTATAGACTCGTAAAAATAAATAATTATAATAGAAATATACAGATCATATATACTCCAGTGTATGGATATTGACATATCATTATAACCTTACGAAAATGGGGAAAGAGACATGAATGGCGTTAAAAGTAATAATTTACTTCAGTATTTCTTAATAATTTCTCTGTTCGAGTTTACGTAATAATATTAGAAAAATACCTATTCGAATGGAAGATTCTTGAGTTCTCAAATTTAACTAGAACTTATAATAACCAGCTTCTTATAGTGAGAGGACGTAGAACGAACAAATAGAGCAGTTTCGTAGAGTACGCAGTAAGCTAGACGTGCTTCTGTGTTATGTTTCAGAGTATTTCGTAGTGGGCCATTTCCGAGTTTTAGCTGTTTTTTAAACCAGCTTAGATAGGATGTAACTCACCGCTTTACCAGATCGACTCTCTCAGACTGAAGCTCATCAACTTGAGCTGCGGCGACAGTAAACTTTTGATTTAACTCTTCCCACTCGGTACCAATGTTATGCTCTAGATCTTCGAACGTTGCCAATTCCACAAGATCACGCTCGATCAGTTTCTTACTATGTATGTTTGATGGTAGCATGCATGTTATTATGAGCAATATGGAATATATGAAATTATGATATATGAGATTGATGATGGATTGATTTGTGCTATGACAGGCTTCATATACCTTTGTTCGCCACTGTGAGATACGAGGGGAGTAAGACTCAGCGGTGGAAGGATGCGGCTTTTGAGCATCGAGTCTGGTGCATCTCCAAAGTTGAAGCCAGCGGAAGGTTGAAATTCCTCCTCGGTTACTTCAAGAGATTTCATGATGTTTATTGTTTGTGGTGCATTACGACCGGACCGATGGCATAAGTGAGAAGTGGAAGGCGAGAAAATTGGTTTCGGCAAACCCGACAACTTCTGATGTCCATTTGAACTAATCGCATTAGTGGAATTGGTCGAGGAACCGTCGTTTCCGGTCCATGTGGCTGGGCACCAAGTGCGTCGACGATTCTTATTACGATTATCAGCGAGTGTATTGCTGCTTATTATTTTCAATGTATCCGTCTTGATTCTTTGCTCTAAGAGTCGCACCTTGATCTGGCTCTCATTTCTGCGCTGCTCCTCAGCTAAACGGTCCTTGAGCTCTTTAATTTCACGCTCAAGACGCTTCATCATGGTCGCATCGGACACAATTTCATTCATTTGTGGTTTTAAACGGATTTTTTTAGCGCGCATTGCGAAGTTCAGTGTCGACTGAGATTCTTCCAAAATTGAAGGTTTAATACTGCAAATAATGGATGTAAATGCATTGCCACCCAGCGAGGCTTGTAATATACGAGTCAACTTTGAGTCCCGAAAGCTAACATATTTGTTCTCCTCATTCTCAGCCAGACTTTTGATCACATTGCTAAGGAAATGTAGACTCTTATTGATATGGCCACCCTCCTTCAGACGTGCGCCACGCGCACCCGTTTGATCAGCACGCTCAGAGCCCGCCAAATCCACCAGATTCAACAGGCTTTGAATAACAGCATCATCATCATTGCGATCCGTTTTACGCGATTCAATGATCTGAAGAATCAGAAAAAGATTATATATTTATATATATACATGGAAATATAGTTGATTAAGGCTTACAATGCGAAATATGGCATGTGAACGACTAGAGCGTTCATTCATGTTGGTTTCACCCACTGTGCGCTCCTTGTTGCCCATGCATAGGAACTGCAACAAATCCTCCTCACTGGTAATGATGCACTCTTCACAATTGACATGCACCATGCCGTTGCTTTCATGAATCTTAAGATCTTGATTCTTCTTATTGAGCAAATCATAAATCTTTTCGTTATAAATCTCAATGTAACCGACCCTCAGCAAAAAGTCTCGATCACTGTGCCGCGCAATCTGTTTGAAAATCTCTTTTGCAGCTAGGACCATTACACCAGGATTTTGATCATCGCCCATCATGGTGTACGTCTTACCCGAGGAAGTTTGGCCATAAGCAAAAATTGTGCCATTGAAGCCTTTCATGCAGGCTTCTATAATGTGTTTGGCCATACAATCGAACACAATTTGATTGTTTGACTCCTGATCGAAGACATAATCTGCGAAAAACGAATCATTATGGAATCACAAAAGTCAGCTCTCTCTCGACTTTCACTTACCAAATATGCAGGGTTCGGCCTGGCCATCGATGATTTGAATGGCTCGATTGTCCTTCACCTGCCACAATGTGGTCTTCCCTTGCTCGCAGGGACGTACCTTGATGCACACCTGTATTGCGCTTTTAGCGGACATGTTTAAACAAATTTACAATTAGACAATTTTTCGATTTTTTAAATAGAGAACGACACTACTCGACGCACGAACAACTGTTTTCACATAACATTTCTTTACAGTTAATTCGAAACAAATGCCGCTTTCAGCTTCTCCTTCTTCTTCTTCTTTTGGCTTGACAATCAGCATAGCAGCAAGCGTCTTTGTCGCAATCGATAACATTGAGTTCACAGTTTCTCAAATGTTATCGCCGGGATCACAATCAGGGCTGCAAAATTGATCGTTCCGTTATGTTCAAAGTGAAATTTGAAATTAATGAAAATAACATGTTTGGTTCTTTTCAACGCATTTTTATTGTAATTTTAATAAATATTTATAACTTTCTAAGCACATGGATCTCTACTTAAATTGCTTATGTAACTTTTATTTAACTAACTCTTTAATTCTAGCGACTTAATTGCATATTGTGTATGAGTGTGTGCGTGTGGGTGCATTTGTGGTTTGTATATCAAAATGCATATTGCAGTTGGCATGTTTTAAATGAAACAAAAATAAGCACAACCAAAGTAAATGGACAGTGACTGAGAGATGTAAACAAATTTAACATACTTGTATTTACTTATAATTTGCTTTATTTATATATAAATATATATATTATTTATTTTCTACTCATTTTCCATATTCAATAAAATTTATGCTAAATATTTCATGACTCGTGTAATTTAGTTCAAGAAACACAATTACAATGCGACAAAAAATATATATAAGTATATGTATATTCAAAATTGCGCGCTTAAATAATATTTAAATTAATTGAGGTAGAAAAATCACTAAAAGTTAACACATATTTATAATTATAATAAGGCAAGTGGGGGAGTTTTTAACTCTTGTAGAGTTTCCTTTTCAAACTAACAATAAAACTAGCAGAAATTTGGGTATATTCAAACTAAATGTACATACAGGAAATCGGACATATAATATAACATGAAGAAATCTTTTCATTCAAATTGGTGCAATTGGATTTTGTTCTTCTTCTTCTGTGTCTTGTATAAATTAAAAGTGAACTGAGTATATTGAGGTATTTGATTCTATTACAATTAACCCCAAATCAAATTGGCTTGCAATTATAGCTATGCACACACACATATATATATAGATATATGTATATGAATATAGGTGTAGATGTATTTTTAACTCTCTTTTGTATAAATAATATTTGAAATTTACATTGCCTGAAAATCGTTTACATATCTATAATATTAAATTGGCTTGAGTTTCTTATTTCTCTTCTCTTTTTTGCACTCATCCAATGGAGAACCTAAAACTAGGCAGCTGTCAAGTCTGCTATGAAAGTTATATGCATGTATGTATGTATATGTATGTTATAAGCAAGTCCGACCATAACAAACGTAGAGCTATGTGGAAGATATATTACGAGTTGGATGGCTCACACAATTTCATTCAGCTGAGGTAGTTTGGTTGTTCTGCGTGTATTCCTGAGATATGGTTAGCATTATAAATAGTACATATATATATGTATATATATATATAGATAGGCTGTGGCATGGCACATCTGAATTGTTTTTCTTTCATATTTGCTGCTTCACATTAACACACACATATACATGTCAAAAACTGAGACGGATTTTTGTAGAGTATTCAATTGGAGTATGCGTATAGTCCGCTTAAATGCTTTGCTTGCTTGTTTGTTCCTTAGCTATTTACAGAATTGCATTGCTAACACTAAAAATATATATTTATATAAATATATATATGTATATATATATTCATATATATATACCTAGATCTAGGTTTAAGTTTAGGTATTTTGGAGGTGAATTTGAAACTGTCTTGGTTCTTGCGTTTCGAAACTGCATTTTTACATACACACAACAGGTACTTGTGTATATATAATTGTATATAGCATTTATATAGGATAAGTATGTATATGTACGTGAGTATATTTATGCTTATCTCTGTTCTATGCCAAGTATAGTAGTTTGTTTTGTTCCGTCTTTAAAAAGCACAACACAAATTCTACTATATAATAAACGCAGCACATCATGATATTATTTCATGAACTGTTTCTAGGCCTAGATAACTATCGTAACTATCGTATGCATATATATTATATTGTACACGTAAACTGGTATACATGAGGATAAGGCTACTCGTTACAAATGTTCCATTTTCTGGGTATACAACTGTTCACGACGACGACGATGACGAGGATTCTTTAATTTACGATATACGAATATCGTAATATCGTAAAACGTAATATCTTTTGCTCTCTTATACACGACGACGTCGATGTTTCTTCAAAATGCGATATGCGAATATCGTAATATCGTAACATCTTTTGCTCTCTTATAAACGACCCGCTCTCTTTAACTGTGTGTGTGTTTCTGTGTGTGTATTGCCTCTAGCTTATGTATGATGCACGCCCTCATCCTCTGAGAAATTATCCTCGGCATCCGAATTGTTTGCCTCATTGTTGCTGCCCGACTGATTGTTGTTGTCGAGGCCCAGACCCAAGTCCATGGGCTCCGAACCATCCCGTCGTATCTCAGCCTCAGCATCCACGTCCACATCATCTGGCTCTCCGCCAACAGCCGCGCCAAGATTGCCGTGAATGTGAGCCATCGAGCTGAGTCCCAACGCTCCGTTTGCATCGGGCGAGAGGCTGCTCGCGTGTTGCTGCTGCTGCTGCTGTTGGTCACGTCTGAGTATTGGCTCAATGGACAGTCCAGCTCCGCTCTGGCCGTAGCCACTCGCTGCTGCTCCAGCTGCGCCGGCCAGCTTGCTAAGATCAAACTGGGCTGGCAGCAAACCCGCCGGTAATTTGTCCAGACTGTGACCCATGGCATTCAACTGCGCCATTTTGGCGGCGTGCAGCGCAGCTGCAGCTGCATGCTCCTGTGTCATGCCCATGCCTGCAACAGAAAAGAGTGGTCAGTATGAGCTGGAGAGCATTTTGACTTCCGCTTGACACTTACCGAAAGTATTCTCGGTGATGAACTGCAGATAGGTATCCAAGAGCGATTGCCCCGCGTTGCTGCTGCCACCGGCTGCAGCGTTCAGCTCCTTTTGCTGACCTATAGCAGCGGCTGCAGCTGCTGCCGCAGCAGCTTCGTTGCGCATGCGCGAAATGGTTGTGTTGGCATGTCCAAAGTTGCTCAGCAAGCTCTCGTGATAGCGACTCAAGTCGTTGGCATTGTTGCCATAGAGTACACTGCCGGTGGTCAGATCTTCGGGGTCGTCGTCAGAGTCGTCGGCATCATCCAGTGGCCCACCGCTGGCATTGCTAAGGTCCAGCTTCTGTGAGCCATTGCCGCCGTTGCCGGCACCGCCGCTGCTGCCGCTGCCGCCTGTGGGTGAGGCTCGAGCGCGCAGCTCAGCGGGTGAAATCTTGACGCCGGCCTTGGCCAGCAGCCGCGAGGCGAGATCTGGATCAAAGGCGCTCGGCATGGGCAGCACGGGCAAATCCTTTGTGGAGATGCCGCGATGCTGGCGCGACATATGCGAATGCAGCGAGTTGCGCGACTTGGCCACGGTGCCACACAGCACGCAACGATAGCCAGGACACACCGTATGCTTGTCCTCCAGGTGAGTGCGCAACGTGTGAGCCGAACGATAGATTTTGCCACATTTCGGACACGGCCTCGGATCTGTGGCACGCACACGCATTTCCAGCGAACGACGCGACACTGTCGATAGAGAGAATATATAAATAAAAACATTCAAATCTTTTATATATTTATAGAAAAACTAGAATAGAATATTCCGCCGGTCGACTTTTCTTCGTTTGCTCTTTATTATTAAACAAAAACATAATTGCCTCATCGAGTCGTACATAAATTGAAGATACATTTCTTTCCTTTACGAGCTACGTATTCTCCAAACAATTGGCCAAACTAAAGTATATATTCGTGTGTATATAAATGATAATAGAAAGATGTTAGCAGTACGCACACACACATACATATGTGCATGTGTGCATGTATGTGTTTGCTATGGGCTACCCAACTGTAAAATTGTCCGTGTCGAAATGTCGAAATGGAATATAATACGTTTCCTCCTCCTCAACGATCTTTGTTTTGTTTAAATCAAAACTCGCAGTTGAAGTCAAGTTTCATTTTCATTTTGTTTTTGTTTTGTTTTTGTTTTTAATTTTAGTTAGTTTTTCTTTTTGATTAACATTATAGGAACCTTTTTACGTATGTTTTTCTCTCTTGATGCTCTTTTGACATACTAATATACGAAATTATAAGTCAAATGACAATTTTGAGCTCTTTTGAAATGTTTCTCTAATAAAATTACAACTTCTCACTTGTCTAAGTGTCTTTGTGTGTGTGTGTGTGTGTGTGTGTGTAGGTGTGTAGGTGTGTGTATGTTTTCCGTATCTTTTCATTTAGTTTTTTATCTTGGCTAAAAATATATTACGCAGGCACATTCTATTTTGTAGTATCATTATAATTAATTATAATAACTATTTATAATTGTTTCTGCTTGGTATTCAGCTCATATTTATCTACAAATACCTTGTTTTATATACTATATAATATATATATATTGTTTATACGCTTATATGGTAGTATACTATAAATTGTGTCTGTAGTTCTTGCGCTGCCTTCCTATGTACGTATAATACTGGAGTTTAGTGGAGTTACTAGTGCCATGTAAAGCGCCATCTAGCGTGTAGCACGTCACCTACACCTTACTAAAAATTACATTTAACAGCTCTGCTACGCCTCATAGGTGACGAAAATGTATTGGAGTGTGTGTGTGTGTGTGTGTGTATAAGTGTGTGTGTGTGTATGTATACTAAATATGGAATTATTATTATTCATATAATCATTTCTGGGCTCTTTACAGTGTAAAACTAGCTTTGTATGTTATACATATATAAAGTTGCACATACGCAGTAGTGGAAGTACGAATATGTACTATTTTTAATATAGTATACTATATTTTTGAATATAGGAACGTAATAATTGTTTATGCCAGCCTCATCTCGCATCAGCCGCATTCAGCCACATTGCCTCGAAATTTCAAATGGATCTATAGCTGCTTAGAATTTTTGTTAAGAAAATATTTTTAGATAAATTTGAAAATAATTTAAAACGAAATCGACTTGAAAATAAAACTTCTTAAGCTTGGCAATTAATGAGCATTTTTTGCAATAAAAAAATGAAACCGTCTTTGGTCAACAGGAATAAAGAGGAAAAGCTTTGAGTTTCTTGGTTCAGTGGAACGGGCTTTAGCGACGTGGCTCGATCGAGTTTAGTACTACGTTTTCTTTACTTCTTTTGTTGTCTTTGGCTATCTACGATAGACGCGAGTGTCCCGAGTTTGGGCTTAGGATTATTGTCGCCTTTTGACTTGTTAGCAGCAACCTAGAAAAGCTTTTGTTTTCGCTACTAGTGCGAGTATCTGCGGGCATATTGATTTTGGACTATTGGGTACCGGGTCGTACCGTCAGGCGACACCAACTAGTTGGCCGCTTCGCTCTTGAATTTGAAGTCGGGGCCGCCGGCGAATGGGCCGCCCGACGAGCGCATCGCCTTCATTTTGGCCCACTGCAGCGTGTGCTTGATGCGCATATGATTGCGCACCGAATTGGGATGGGCGAAGCGACGGCCGCATTCGATCACCGGACAGACGGGACTGTCGCGCGGATAATGCCTATCCAAATGCTGGCGAAAGACGCGCTGCTCCAGCGGCGTCTCGCACAGCGGACACGGCAGCATATAGTTGCTGCCAGCATTGCTGCTGCTGCTGTTGTTGCTGCTGCCACCAGCACCAGCAGCAGCAGCGGCAGCAGCAGCTGCTCCGCTTGTGCTGCTGGCCAAGGCGGAGGCTGTGGCCGAGGCAGTGGCAGTTGCTGCTGCTGCTGCTGCTGCAGCCACGGCTGCTGCCGAGGTGTTTTGAAATATGTCAGGAAAGTCACGAGAGCGACTCAGGGCAATGGTGCGCGCCATAAACAAATTGGCGGTCAGCTGTTGCTGGTGTGACACGGAAACGGATTGCTGCAGTTCATCCAGATATTGCTGCTGCTGCTGCTGTTGATGTTGATGTTGCTGCTGCTGCTGCTTAAGATGTGGGCGATGTTCGCTCTGCTGTTGCAGATGCTGTTGCTGCTGCTGCTGCTGCTGTTGTTGCTGTTGCTGTTGTTGCTGCTGCTGACGATGCTGTTGCAGTGTTTGGTAGAGCGTAGATTCGCTGGCCTGACAATTGCGTTTCATGGTCAAGGAAATGGCCGACGAGGCTGAGCTGGAGCGTTCATCCTGATTGTAATCGGGCTCCTCCTCGCTGTCATTCCACGAACGCGCCGACGGCGTTGGCGATGAATTTGTGGAGCGATTCTTCTTGAACATGCGATTGTTGTTATTGTGGCTAATGGTATTGTTATTATTAATGTTATTATTATTATTGTTGTTGTTGTTGTTGTTGTGGCTGCGTCGCTCGAATAACTGCGCCAGCTGCGGCCGTTGCATCAATTTGGCCAATTTGCATGCAGCTGGCTGACGATCGGCTGCATGCGCCTCGTGCGGCTGCTCCTCGACTGCAACATCCATGGCCTCCTGCTTGATGCTCGACTGCTGGCTGCTGAGGAATGTACCTGCAGTTGGATACAGTTTGCAGTTTTGCAGGAGGTCAATTGATAATCAGAAATCAGTTGGGACAAAAGTAAAACATTTCGTAATGCAGTTGCAACGTTTTCTATGCGTCTCACCCAATTTAGAGTGCCAGTGTGTGTGTGTGTGTGTGTGCTGTGTGTGTTTGTGTGTGTTTTTGGCTGTACGAATCCCATTGACAGCAGTTGCAGGCATTTGGCAGCAGCAACAACAACAACAACAGCAGAACTGAATAATCCTCCGAACTGCGTTACAATTTCTTTGCTTCCAATTTATTTTTTCCATTTCTTGTGTAATTTCTTCGATTAGACTTGATTTTCAATTTGCATACGATATTAATCAGATTTGTGCCAATTGTTTTTATTTCGGTTATTCGCTTTTGGTGCTGGGGAAACATTCAGTTCTAACAGTTCAAATTGCTCTTACTACCCGTCCACACACATCGATCGTCCGGTTACAGCCAATTCGGTTCACTTAACTTAAGAACTTTTGTGAGAGGCATACTTAATACACATTCGAATAGATATGGATAGATTTATATACGTTTAACAGGCAGGCAAGCAAATGTTTCTATACATCTAGTTTGGCAAACGGTGCAAGTTACATCAACTTAAATATAATAACTCAAGTATTATATACATAAATATATGAGATCTTATAATATTACAGAAATAAAAGCGAATTAATTTATGTGAATTATATATTAAGGCAGAGAAACTCACAAAGATTGCGATGATTGATTATAATAGATAAAACTAACAGATGATCTTGAGTCACGCGCAGACCTAGACCCAGTTGCTGCCACAAGCCAGTGCAGAGAGCTATATCCTTTCTAGTGGCAGCATTTAGCCAGTCTTACACTTTATTGGCATGGGCATAAAATTAAGATATTGAAGTTTTATATGTTAGGAAAGTAATGCTCAAGACAAGGCTTTATTATTTAACTTCCTGGACTACCGCGATCAATCCAGCAAATCATTTTGAATTATCGTCAAGTTTCTCTTTTCTGATCAGTCTCGAGTAGGAAAGGAGACCTTTGGTTTTTACAGATTTCCAGATAGCTCTCCTCCTCTCTGAGTGGCTGCGAAATATGCTTTGGCCTATCCAATCTCTCAGCTTGTCTTGAGCCCAGCACAGCTGAAAGGATTAGAGGAGACCGTGACAAAAGCCATTGCCATTGCTAGCGCAGCAAAGTGTGGGTTGAGCTGCAGAAGGTTTGAGGGCACGGCACATCGCGTGCCACGCTATCATTGTTAGATCTGGCGAACAACTCTATATATTAGGTCTTCACATGACGTGCCATTTGGCCTGGGGTCGGAAGGGGCTTATGCATTCGCATTTGTGTATCGCTTTCAATATTCGATAATAATAAATATTTGAAAAATACAAACGCAATTAAATGTGTGGAAAATTGGCAGTCGGGCGCTGGCAGACCATTTATACATATATTGAGTCAGAGATTTGCAGTGCACACACTCACACACACACACACACACACACCCAGAAGCTATTAGGGGCGTGTCTCTGGGCTATACACTCGTATGGAAAACGCCATTTAGCCAGGGCCCAGGCCATGACGCAAGAGCTCCCAAAATGAAATCAAATTAAACAATTTACTTTTTGCCTTTGTGCGTGACAACTCAAGGGAAAATGCAAACACAATTTGTTGCATACATAAATATAAATATGCATACATAAAAATATATATAGATACACACAGACACACAGATATATCTATATATTGTATATATCTCAAGTGAAAAATATAATAAAATTGAAAATAGAATACGATGCTATATACCTGTCAAGGCAGTTTCTATGTACTAATACATATAACATGCAACATGCCCCCAAATGTGGCTGCCTCATTCTAGACTACTTCTGAGCCACTCGATTGGCTGCAGCTGAAGATGGCTCTAGCCTTAGCCCGGCTCAGAGGCGAAGAGGGGCTTCCTTTGACCAGCCATGCATTTAAGTGCAGCTAAGTGTGTGTGTGTGTGTGTGTGTGTGTGCGTGTGTGTGTGTGGGCTGCAAATGACAACGAACAAGGCAAGCGCCATGTGAGTGGACTTTGGTTGCCGATCAAATCAGGCGAAAGACTTGCCACCTTCCGCCACCTCCAACAGGTGCAATTTTTGTGCGCTTGTCTTTCATTCAGATTTGTCGCAGCACAGGTGCTTCGATTCCTTTTAGAATGTATTCAAGTGGTTGGCTGCTTTTTCAGAGACCTCTAGCTGCAGTGTGCGTTGGCCTGTGCGTAATGCAGCCAGCAGATGCGTCACTCGCTGTGCATAATTAATGAAATATAAAATGCAAACTTAATTTTCCTAATAGTTGTTGCACATTGCACATTGCACAGCTATTTTTATTATTTCATACGATTAGGCAACAGATATGCGAGGCAACTTGGCCACAGATGCAAAGAGTTCTTTGTTACCTAAGTAGGCTGTGCTTGCTCGTCTAACTTGAATCTTTACCTGTCGTAGCAGACACAAATCTAACTGTGTTTGCAACCATTTGAAGCAAATTGCTCGGAATGAAACAATTTCATTACATTTTTCAAGCAGCTGAATTCCAGCCAGTTCCAAAAAGAACTCTTGCTAACATCATCTATCAGCTTCAACAGAGCTCGAGAGAGTTCGAAGCACTTAGTTAAGATTTTTGTGCTTTTACTTGATCATGTATTGAGCAGAATATATTGCATTACTCAGCTACTGAAGCTGGAATTTGGTATACAAACTCATTAAACTAAATATTTGCTTTACATATTTTTCTTACAGTCGATCATGATGATCATAATTATGATCATAAAACAAATACATGTAAAGCAGCAAGAGCTATGCCTTTTGATCCTTGTCAAATCGGCTACAAGTGCATATGCTACAGTTATACAACTAGATGCTTAGAATTGATTAAGGTTATTCCATTTGGTCTGCCTTGCAGGCTAAGCTTTAATGATTATATTTACACTCAAAAAGCTTTGGTCTTACTGAATCGAACTAAGTCTATCTTTAGTAGCCTTGAAGCTTTAATAATGCAGGCTAAGCTTTAATGATTATATTTACACTCAAAAAGCTTTAGTCTAGTGAATCGAACTAAGTATATCTTTAGTAGTCTTGAAGTTAGAACTGCAATAACACAAAAGCCACAGTTGATATCTGCTCTATGGATTATAAGTGTCTTGTTGGCGTGGAACATGAAGAGCAACAGTATCTTGCTCGCCTTCTATTAATTCTAAAATTTAAAAATGAATTCAGATCTAAGCATAATCAAGCTAGACGCTTAATTATGAAGCCAAGCTGGCTCAAGTTGGACAACTTGTATAGAAAGTAAAGTGAAGTAGCTTGGCTTGGCGTGCAGGCTAAGTTCCAGTGGGGCACTCTCTAGGCAGCCTTTACTATGTTCAAGTGCTATAAAATAAAACTGTGCAAATTGAGCAAGCTAATCACGTCAGATTGATATAATACATATGCATATGTATTAGGTGTGCATGCGTGTGTGTCTGTGTGTATATAGGTGTATGAGTGTTGTGTTCATATCCTGTATCTGGTGCCTAAATGACCTGGGCTTGGTGGCCCGAACTCATCAATTATAGCCGCATGCCCGTGGGCGCCGCCAAACACTTTGCTTAAGGTGTCCCACAATGGCACACACACGCACACATTTATATATAAGACATTCAAATGTGGCACAATTGCATGTGGCACCCCTCGGCGCGGAACTTAATGGTTATTTAAAGTTGGCTGAGAATCCGATTCTGATTCGGTTTTAGACTTCGACTCGCATGTCGCAGCGCTGTTAGCGTCAATAGAAATTAGCTTTATTAAAGATAGAGCCAGAGTCAAGTAACGTTTCCTTTGGCTGCTATGACCTGGTCATTATTTTTAGCCCCCACCCCGCGCCGTCGCCCATCGCCTATCGTCTATCGTCTATCAGCCCAGCCATTTGCCGCATTTTGCATTTGGACGTCGAGGCGAGCAAATAATGAATTTTTCTATATAAATCACTCGCGTCAATGGGGCCGGGCCCATTGATGTTATAGAGAGGGTTGCCCTCCCCTCTACCCATCCACCCCTCTCCCTCTCCCCGCCATATATATGCCTGTAGGTAAACATTTCGTGGGCATTTTGTCAGCCGAACGAAAGGGTTGCCTTGAAAGGGGGTGTGGCAGCTGGGCCGTAGGTGTGTTTAATGGTCATTTTTCGATGTCTTGCGATCGTTATCACCTTTGCTTATTATTATTATTATTAGAATGCATATTTCTCTTCGTTGTCCTTTGGCTCGGCGGTAATTTGCTTGACTTTGTTCTTATTGGAATTTATTACTTAATAAGTTGAAATGCTTTCGGCCATTTTATAGACCCTCCTACTCCCCCTAGCGCACTCCTCGGGGTATATATAATGTATTTCTAGCGATTTTACGAGCGCCGTTTCAGCGAAAATTTTGTTGCTTTTGAGTTTTGAACTGGACACAGCTTAATTTCAACAAAATCTCAAAGATAATAAAACTATAAAAAGGGGTCAAACTCTAGAGAGAGAGAGGAGCATAGAGAGTGAGGGTGAGGCTGAGTTTGGGGAGGGGGCGCAGGCTGGGTAAGCCACGCTTTTATTAATTTTTATGGGCTCGTTTTATATGTGCGCACGAGTTTATCAGAGTATTTGCAATAAAACACATAATACATGCCGTCCGTCTCAAGTATTCAAACTGTATTCCCTGACAAATTGGCGACGCAGTTTTACGAGCGTCTCGGAATTGTGATTGAATTATTGATAAAGTGATTACACTTCGCTGACCTCCAAGCGGATTCATAGAGCCAGGCCGTAAAACCGTTTGACCGAATTCATTAGATGAGCATTGAGTTAATTAGCAGCAGCGGCAGCAACTCGCTGCAGCAGCCGAAACTTAAGATTTATCGAATAACCATTTTAGATTGTCCAGATGTCAGGCGACACACGACTTCCAGCAATCCATCTCTGTATTTGTT